ACATTGCATTAAGTGTGTAATGTATGTTATTCTATATAAGAATTCTATAAATTCTATTAGTGTATTAAAAATTATATCGATATAAACAAAATTAAACTTTTCCGATATCTCGATACGTAATCAAATCTACCATGTTGCACGAATCCAATCAACTAGCTGATGATTTTATCAAAGTTAAAATTCGTATAACGGGACGAATTTGATTCAAAGCAGGGACGCTGATTACGCCCATCTGTTCTTATGTTCTACATACAGCAAGTAATAAAACAACTCATAGTGCATATACGATGTATCACTTAAACCCAACGTTATTAAATCTACTTATCATTATAGTATATATTAGGCAATACGCAAGATATCTGCATCAATAAAGGAATTGTTAGTTGTACAACTATCCAGGAGTCTATGTGTACAAGAAAGAAAATAGCGAAAATATGAAAAACTGATGTTTAGATCGACTTTGAGCGCTAATAAAAAATGTAGTGAACATAATTTTATGTATAACAAGTTATATTTCAAAGTCTACAATACGAATCATAGTCTAACTTAACCTAAAACCAAAAAGGCTTTGATATGAAAGTCGAGAGTACGTATAAGTTTGTGTGGCCTAACCGATCATAACGTATTTTTATACGTATATTGTACGTACTTGTGTTGATAAATTTGTTCAAGGTAAATCCGAAAAATAAACAAACATCAAATGTTATCGAGACTATCCAGTAAGTATATAAACAAGTCAGTTATCGGTTAATTTGTCATTGCAATTATCTTTGCATAACAATCTTTTTAATGACATATATATATCGATGTTGTATATATTTTTATCTATTACTTTATTAAACCATTATTAATGACTTCTATCACTTCAGTAACAGAGAAACAATTCACCACTATATCTAATTTATGTGTTCCTCTGAATATCATTTCTCTCATTTCTTCAGCTATCTCATGTATAATATTTGGCTTCATACGAATATACTATCCTAAACTCGCAGATCGGGTCTCATTTCGTTTAACTTTTGCGGCCTTATTCTGTGATATAGGTTATTCTGGTCATCTTTTAGTTTCTTTGGTATGGAAAAATACTCCCGGGTTTTTTTGTGGATACATGGTAAGACATTCATTAACTTTCTTTTTCGACATCCAATAGTTTCTTTTAAATATTTTGTTTTAATCACCTTAATTTCCTTCGGATCTTTTTATATATAAGGCTTGGGCAACGACATTTTTCCCCCTTTCTTCTACATTTTTCATCGTGTGTATAGCTTTGGTATGCATTATAATTCTATTTTTCCGTATTTATACATATATATTTATATATTCACATGTCCTTTTTTTTCTTTATATTAGAACCTTCATATAATGTTTATAAACGAATATAGTTGTAGTTATAATTTTGAAAAATACTATTTTGCAATTGCATTTGCTTTTGCACTTTTACTCTCTCTCCTTCCTATTACCACTGATATGTATGGTTATGATGATCCCGAAGGGTATGCATTATTATAATGTATAGCGCTCCTTACAGAACAGCATTCGTCCTATCTTAAATTATCTGAATTAAAGATAATATCATGAGCTTTAATTGCCTCTACACTTTTTATTAAATTTAATGAATTTATTTAACTTAGATAATTTAAGTAGGGCGAATACATTTCTTTAAGAGGTGTATATGTGTATATACAATATATTTATCATATCATATTTATTTCATTGTCAAAATTATAACATTAATATTTATTATAGTATATGTTGGTATCGTGATTCGGGTCAAAAATCTAATATAATATGGCAATGGGTTACTTATTTCGGCTGGATAGATGTATCCATATTGTATTGTGCGCTTGTTGTTATTATGGTCATTAGAAAACTCAGATCAGTAACCAAAAAAGTTGATGTTTTTGATTCTTCTTCTCCTCAGATATATGGTCATCCTACCTTAATTAATAAGGCAGTTGTCTTTTCGGTTGTCAGAAGGATCATGTGGTATCCTGTGGTGCCATTGGTAGCTCAATTTTTTAGCTCTTTCGTTGAAACGTATGCTTATATTAATCGTGTGGTCTCTTATCCCCTCCTTTTACTTTGCTTCATTGGCTTATCAATTCAAGGTATATATATGTTATACTTTTTTCCTTCTTACAACTTGATTATTCTTTGGTTACTAACCTATTGCATCTTAGGATTGCTGAATGCTTGGGTATTTTCTCAAGATATTGCTGTTACTCGTGCTTTCCAAGCTGTTAAACTACATTGGTGGATCACTAATGTTAACTCTTATGAGTCTCATTATCCTCATCGATCTCATAACAAATCCGTTATAAATGAGTTCAGCAAGCCACGAAAAACAGATGATTTTGTTGAATTACAAACTCTAAACTGCAATAATGCTGATATCGTTAAAAACGATGATGTTGTCAATGATGATATTATTACCAAAGATATTACTGATGATAATAATTTGGTTTTACAACCTTCTTTTTTAGAATGGTTAAGATACATACTATTGATTAAACTTTTCTCTCCTCCAAAAAATTCATCTCAATTAATTGCGCTTATATTACCGAGCGATTCTTTTTATGACAATGTGTCTAATACCTCTTCTTCTTCGATTGGAAAGAATAATTCCAAGCAGAGCATAACTCGTAGCAATCAAAATTATAATAAAGACATTCATTTAGTTCATCCTGAATCCGTTCATTTAAAAGATCCTTCTCAATACTCTTCATTAGATTCATCATCTCATTTAAAACAGTTAACTTCATCTGATTTTTCGATAGATGGTTCTGGAAATAACCAAACTACTATAAGTAATAGAGATAATACAATTGCAATAGATATATCAAGCCATGAGGTTGGTGATGATGAATCAACAAAGGATATTAAACTGATATTAAAAAGGCTATAAAGTTTCTTTTTTCAAATTTATAAAAAATATATTTTATCGACTTTTTTTACATTAGTTATTTAATATTATTTATAATAACTATTTCAAACCATTTACAAATAAATATGTAAATAAATATGTACTATATGTTTTATATAATAAATCATAAATACTTTTTTTCATTACAATACGTCCAGTTGCCCAGAAATTAAATGCTAATTAAACTTTAACTGGAATATCTTGATCGTTTACATTATTTTCACTATTGATATTATATATATTTTTTTGATTATTTTTTTTCTGTTATTTTTTATTGCTTGATTATATAAAATCAAGAATATAAATTACAATAAGAATATATGATTTTTAATTAATAATTAATATAAGAATATATGATTTTTAATTAATAATTAATAATTAATAAATAACTGAAATAAAAATTTTTCGTTAGGGTTTCTCTGAACAAATCTCGAACTTAAACTGAATTTTATAATGTTTGACTTAAATCCAGACCCAAGCATGAAAATGATCAAAACCCAAACATTATTTTAAGTTTAGTCCGAGTTTGGTTTAGAGATGGATCCCGTATATCCGTTCAGATAAAACGGTGTCTATTCATCCGCTCTTGTCTAACCCGACAGATATTCGAATAAACCGGATAACAAAGAGTTTTTTCGTGCAGTTGCTAATAATCATGTTTTCTTATGACTATAAACGTAATAAGCTCGACTTAAACCTCAATCTGCTCGAGTTAAAATTCAATCAGCAGGCATGATCACATGCTGTATTACAGATAACTTGACAATCCGATTTAATTATCTGAAATCAATATTTTATCCGAATAATTATGTCATATTCGGATTATCGGATCGTTCAGATAAAAAGTTCCATCTCTAGTTTGGTTCGAAATTTGTAGATATGTTTGAGTTTGAGAGAAATTAAATAATTTATAACATCAGGAACGAATGATTAAATCACGAAGTTGGTTGTTAAGGGTTGATCAAATTTTCAATCCTTCATTAAATTAAACC